AGAGATTTAGATTTCAGCAACTTCATTCCCCAGATTTGTCTAGGAATAAGTAGGATGTTCCCCATAGCTGCCACGGTTCTGTGCCTGAAGTGAGACCAGGGATCCCACTGCTGTTCTGCTCTCAGGTGAGCCCTTTGCTTGTTTCAAGAGGTAGGTAAAGAAACTCCCTAATTCAGTTAGAGAGAGAAAAGACCTACAAAGCAATGAGGAGGAAGACAAAAAACTTAGCAAACAAACATAATAACACAAGAAGCAGCAAAAGGAAAACTGTCAGCAGAGGTCCTGTTCAAAGAAAGTACTTGGTACGGCAATCGCATTTGGCTAAATACACTGGCAGGAGGGACGAAAGATGAAAATGGGAATGCAGAAGGAAAAAAAAAAGTGATTGGATGGCTGAATGATTCAAGAAGGAAGACAAAATTAGGAACCTCTGGGTAAAGCCAAGGCAGGTGAGGATCTAAGAAGCAAGGAAACAGAGTCCAGAGTCCAGTAAAAGAAAAACATTGCAATCTGGCCTTCATGCGATCAGCATCTAAACTGTCATAACAGAATCTGCAGACGTCAACTGGATACATGAAGCTTTTATTAAGATTCTTTTAAATGCAGTCTACTAGGTGAAATGAACATAAACCAAATTCACATAATGTATTACTACAGCAGTCAACAAAAATCTATGCAATTTTTTTTAAAACAACTCCTTTTACCTCGTATGTATGATTTAGGTGGGGTGGCACTACTGTAAGTAAAGTGCTCCAATACAGATGTATCTCGGGAAAAACAGAGTAATACCTGTAGAAAAGACAGCATATAAAAATCAGCTGACTTACTGGATCATCAAAGCAATGTCAAATAGATTTATGGACCTGCCTTAAATGCTATTGAAGAGCGCTAATAAGGTTGAAAGTACTTGACCAACTTAACTTACTTTCCTGTTCAAATTTCCAGGCTGACTTTGTGCTTGCTGTGATTTCACCTTCCTATTCACCTGTAGTCAGTAAATTATCCACATTCTCCAACCCTCCTTTTTGCCTCTCAGCAAGAAGTTATCCCCTTCTGTCATATCATTAATGACTACTGGCTGCTTGAATGTCTATTAGATTATTTTTCTATTCAGTTAGTATGACCTGGGGAAGTCTTAGTAAGTGAATAAGCAAACAACATTTACATATTTTGCATGCGTGCAGTTTCAGAAGACTATTCCTTACATTTGCTTTCATTCCCAGAAGTGTTACAGAACGCTTGCACGATATTCAGTTCTTTCAAAATACAGTACAGGTTATTATGTTCACGTTGTATCCATAAATTCTGAAATGCATGTTCTATTTTGTATATTTGTAATTTTTGTTGATTACATAAATGAAAAACCTATTCTTCACAGCAACTGAGTATAGAATTATACAGTAAAAGCACCCCTCGAAAAAAACCCCAACAATAAAGAATCTCGTCTTATATGCAGTTGTAAAAAGTGTAATACTTAGTACTGTACTCTAAATTTTTCATGTTTTTACGCAAGAAAAGACTGCACTATCAAGAATGTACACAAGAGAGCAGCAGTAAGACAGACCGATTTGCTGCTAACCCCTCTCTACTCTTGCAGGTTTTAAGTTTGTTTGTTTTAACTGTAGCCAAGGAGTAAAAGAGGGAAATGTTTTAGATGGTGTTTCACTACATAATTTATTGTGAATAAAAATGAACGGATCTTTCATTCAACTAATTGTTGCAATTTTTTTTCAGATATCAGCATATGTCAAAAGGAAACATGTAAACCAAAAACACTGTGACATCTGAACATCATTGCTTTTTTAATTTTTTATGGAAAGCAGATAGTATTTTGAGACTTTTTTCCTCTTCTGAACCTCAAAACTATTCCTCAGATAGAAACATATTTTTAAAAATAAATAGTTTCTTTATCTCAAACAGTTTAAGCTAAATATTATTTCTGCGCAATACACAATCGTTTTCATAGCTGCCAAAATGTAGCTAACAATAACAATACACAGGCAAATGTAGTTCTCTGTATATGTTAACTGAGGTGAAAGAAAAAGAAACTAATCTAAAAAGGACATAAATTATGTTCTTTCATAGGGGAAAGAATGTAACCTTAATTTGAGGCCCCCTTTTTTAGGAATACAGTGTCCAGTACCAGTATCTGGAAGTCTTTAAATTAAGACTATGCATCTTTATAAGCAATAGACTCTAGCTCAAACATAGGTTATGAATATACCTAAAACCAGCTGGGTTCTTTGCACGTATTCATTACGCAGGATGCAAGACTAAAGTATTCATATTGAACCTCTGGCCTGAAATAATAAATTTACAAATTCATTAATTCATGTATCATTTTTATAATTCACAAAAATAACACTACAGAAACCAATGATGCAAACCTCATTTTAAGTACAAAAATGTTTGGCAAACTATAGGATATTTGTAGTCAAAACTGGAAAGAAAATCACTGAATTCAAAAGACTGAGAAAAAGAAAAAAAAAGCCAAAGCTTTTGATAAAAAGTAATTACTATATTAAAAGTAACTGTATTCTGTTTCAATAGTTAAAGTAATAAAAACATATAAACTATGGGATGAAGAAAGCAAAGATATTAAAGGTAGTAATTTATATCACAGTGTTCTTCCTGACACTAGTGCTGCTAAAAAGGTACCAATAATACAACCAAACACCCTCACTGTTATTTTATGCTCAAATTTTCTGGTTTTGATGGGTGCTTTATCTCTTAAGTAACAGACAAATGCCACACTCTGCTCAATGACTTGGAAAACTTAAGAGGCAGTAACTAGTTCTGAAAATCCCACAAACACAGAACCTGGTTTAAACTAACAGTTTCATTATCTATTTAATTTAGCCAAATGAAATCAATAAATAACATTCCATATCAGAGTGACTCATACTGCAGAATTTTTCCAGGGGCCATGGAACAAAATAATTTGGCAGCAACACATTTGCAAATTAGGTTGGAAAATTATCAAGAAAAGTGAATAATTTTCTTCTAGAAAAATGCCTGAAGAATAGCACAAAGTACCAAACAAAACTAGAACAACTAATAATTAGAAGTTTGAGATGTTTTTTGCCTCAAAGCCTTGCAGTAGAACCAGCCACTTAATTTTTCAAAGACTTTTGGTGACTCTTCAAATTACTTAGTTTAGTCCTTTTTACAATTTTCATTTTGTAATCATTCTTATAGTTAATAGAGATACATAAAAAAATGTAAATACTCAACTGTGCTATATATTGAGAATAATGAACAAACTCTAGTTCTGATGGTCATCAAACAAAATACTATACTATATACTAGTTCATACTCTTTATAGATTATAATCCTGTGTCTACTTGAACTGTTAATGACTAATTAATATGCTTTAGTAGTCTATATAATGAAGTAGAAATAAGAGCGAGATTTCCCCATCCCACAACAAAGAGATAGTGTTATAGCAATGATCATCCTTGACCCTTAGATTGATAAGAAGTTCTACCTGCAAATATTTTAGTGAATAAATATCAGTTTGAGTTGTCATTATGTAGTCACTTTTCAAATTTTAATTCAGAAACATATTAACCTGAATTTAATATTGTAACAGATTAATATTTAACTATTTTAAGTAAAAAAGGCTATAATTTCATTAGGTTACAATTGTAAGTATTAAAGTTTAAATTCTTATTATGCTAAAATATTACACAGAAACATGACTGAACAGTATGCTTAAATAGTAACACATTTTTATATCTATATGGACTGAAGAGCATTAAAGACAGTTTCTTGTTTAGTTAAATTGCTAGCAGTTTTAGATATTGCCATCAAAGAAGAAATCATTTAGTTTCATATAGCTCTAAAACAAAAAATGAAGCAAGTCTAACAGATATCACTAATGAAATCAAAAGCACTGTGGAAATGGTAATTTTGCTCCATGACATACATGTTGACACTGCAATCAACTACACATTAGGAAATTTATACATGCAATCTCCATCTATTTAAGGGCATGTGACAGGCAGCAACGAAGAGAAATCTTTATAAATTAGCTGGGTTCCCCATTGCTAGAAGCAGCTTTGGAATAGGGGCAATCCTAGAAGTAACCATATAGAGCATTATTTTATTCAAAATCAATGCCTTCAATTTAAAAATATGGCAATACAATCTCTTTTATGCTTATTGCAGTAAGCCTCTGTAAAGCAATAATTTTAAAAAAGTGGAACTCTGAATATACTTCTCAAGTCTTAATTTTTCTGTATACCGCAGCTGTTAATCATTTTACTATTGCAAACCTGGAAAGGGGAAGAATATGGCTGACGGTATTTTCTGACTTAGTGCATTGGAAAGACATTGAGTAGGGTCCTTCAGAGTAGGAGTTTTAGAAGTCTGACCTGCTTAATCTGTTTAAGTGTACAAGATCTTTATTCAGAAGGGAAAGTAATGCAGCAAACAGATGTATCTGTCTAGGGTCCCACCGTACTCTGCCTACACATGGAGCACAGAGGCAATCCTTACTCCAATAGATGGTATACCCACAGGAGTATTTTTTCTTGGAAAAGCCAGAAAGTGTAAGATACATACCTGATATAAATAATCCTCAAATACAAAATAGTAGTCATCATTGCTTGCTGTCAACTTTACATCCTGTAATCAAAAAATAGAGCAATCTGATGCCAAAAGACATCTTTTCAAACTCCCACAGAAGCTAAACTTAACACAGTGGTAGAAGACACTGTTTCAGTATTGAATCATGAAAGAGCTGTAGTTAAACATATACTCCATATTTTAAAATTAAAAAATGTTGTATTAACTTGATGATTAAAGTATGCAGAATTGAAACTTGAAATGGAAGCAGCTAGACCTCAGTGCTTTCTTCCTTGCAAAACCAAGAAGGAATAATCCTTCTTCACAACTTAATGACTTAACTCAAATAAATGTCTTACACAAGAGCCAACACAGGCACAAGGAGAGTTTTCAAGGAGAGTTTACAATAATAAATTCACACTAATTAGTCTTACATTCCCTAAAATTAAACCATCTAACATTTTCTTTGTTAAAAATAAATCAAGACACTGGTGTGATGAGTGTATATATACATATATGCTCATCACACCAGTGTCTTGATTTATTTTATATATATTTATACATACATACATACATACATACACACACACACACACACACACACACACACACATATATATATATAACATTATCACTGTTTAGTGAACTACTTACTTTGTAAATCAGACTGTCCACTAAAAGGTCGTGTTGAATCACATTTGTCTTAAGCTGTTCATAATACAAGATATCCTAAAATTAAAAATATTATCATCAGACACAATTTTAATTTACATTAAAACTAACAAAGCCAATTCTTAAAAATTATAGAAAAAAAAATAATCACATGTTCAGCAGAAATAACCACTCCATAATTTATGAAGCATTCTATCACGCTTCATTCCAGTTTAAGCCCTAAGAAATGAGGTAGATATCTGTGACATAATAAAATGACCTCCCCTTTAGATAATTAATAAAATGAGAATGAAGGAACTAGCTAAAAAAAATCCATATCTTCCAACCTTTTGGTTTCTTTACACCTAAAACCTCTTCAATGCTCCAAATCATTATGCTTTTTTTCCCTTTGTTATCCTCCATTTTCATGCATCTCACCACCAATAGGTTCTGTCATATCTTCTAGCATTAGTAAGTACCTGCAAATATTTGATGTTAATGTAATAAATATGAATTGCTAAATAGTTTAAAATTTGTGAAAAGATGAAACAAAAAATATATTTAAAACATTCTTCTGAAGCATACAAAGAACTCAGACCTGTTTTTAAACTCCAGTTACTTCCTGGATGTCTACAGAACACACACAAGAGTGAAACAATGGAGAAGAACCAGAACAAAAACTTCTCTGCTTTTGCTTATTCTATCCCTTTCTTCTTAGAAAGAGCTTGCAAAGGAGAAAAATAAGTCAATATTGCACTATCATTATGCAATTCCTAAATCCCTAAATACCTCTCTGCCACTATGCCTACAACTGTATAACAGATTCAGATTGAATAACATAATTTCAGATGGATTTGGAATAATTCATAAACTAAATCAGCAGTCTCAAATCTCCTTCCCATTTCACAAAATTATTTTGATTTCAATGTGTCTCTATGGATGCCACACAAATACTCGTACATTCCAAGCTTTACATAATATTTACTACTGACTTGTTTGCAAAAAGGGTAAGTCTGGAGTAACGATTTAAGGAACAAATAGGAAGTAAGATGAAACTTTGAGAGGGAGAGAATGGAAAGAAAAAACAAAGATAGAACTCTAGGGAACATTGTACCTGTTCTTTGTATTAATCCAAACCTAAAAAGTGGTGAAAAGTATACACTTTGAAACTGTTAGAATTAATATATTATTAAACTGTTAAGTTGAAATGAGGACAAAAGCTGTATCTATTCAGTACTGATAACTACCACAAGGAAAATGTTTACATTTTTCTTTCTGAGAAATAAAAAAGTAGGGGGGCAGAGAGTAAAAATATTATGCTATTACCTTAGGAAGTATCAGACAAATATTTACTAAATGTAAGTTATTTGCCGTATGAATGTAGCATTATGCTCTTAAAAGCTAGAGAACTACTCCAATATTCAAGTCACAATTTTAAAGCAACAATATTGTAGTCTAATTATGTGTAACACGGTCAAATAAATAATGTCAGAAACTTTTTTTGCCATCTCAAATGACTATATATATTAGAACAGGAGCCAATTAAAACAAACCAAACAAAAACAAAAACAAAAACAACAAAACCCCAAACCAAAACAAACAAACTGACCAACCAACCACAAAAAACCGCTCACCTTCTTTTTCATGCTAAGTAGACAACATGATTAACTGTGTCTGTTGTACACACAAGTACCTCTGCATAAGAAATGGTACAATGATGCTCACGGCTACAAGAGTATTAGATAATGCAACTACTCATCTATTCTAAATTGAGAAAGAGATTCTCATAACCTCATGGTTTCCTGCTATCATTTCCTAGTTTTTGATTCTCCAGAACTGCCTTGAATAATTGCTAAAGCCTTTATGGAAGTGATAGATGAAAGCGGTATGAAGGAAGAGAGTAATCTTTTCCTACACGCATATAGAGCATGATTTAAATTTAAATGCAGAAACAAGTTTTCTTCTTAAAATACTTTCACCTGAGGCCACACAGCAGCTCCAAGCTACAAGTGAACATTATATATCACCAGCCCAGTTTTTGTGCTAACCTTCTCCTTCTTCAATTAGAAAGCCATTCAATTATGTTTTACATTTGCTTAAAAGAGTTCATAGATTTTCCTATTATTATTAAAATGACTGTAAAACCACAATTAAAAAGTAATCACTTAAGTACATGGTCCAGTCATCTTAACAGTCAGAATAACTTGGTATTAAGTTTAATTGCTGCGGATTCACACTTAGACTTAGTGATTTGGTATGTAGGGAATGACTACTGAGATTTCTGTATAAGAAAAAAAAAATACTCGTAAATGATACTCTACTGTACTGGCATAATGAGTTTAGAGTGCTAGTTTCAGTGCAGCTTTGTTTACAGCATCATACTAAACGATGATTGTTATGTTATTCATTTGTTAAAATGTTTATCGGCTTCCTATGCCTTAATTCAACTGCATTCTTAATTGAAATGTAAAGAATCATGTTAATTGCAATTATGTATAAATTACAGTTTATGCCAATAGCCAGTGAACAGTATTCTCCAGAGAAGAAAAAAAAAACAAAACTGATGAAATTCAAATTTAATAGATTTAACCAGACAGAGGATTTGCTATTTGTTAATCCAGAATGACGTGTATTTAAACCATTTTGTTATATTTCTTCTTTTTTTATCAAAGCTGAAGTGTAGAAACTTTACAGTTCCCACCCTTTAGAGTTGTGTACAGATTCTACAGAACTATCTACTTAGTAGAATATAGGGCAAGTACTGTCTGAGTTAAAACAGAGATTTGAATTACTTAGCCTTAACCAATAGGATGTACAATTTCTGAAACATGCATCCTTCCTAATTTTCCTCATTTTTTTTCAATTGGGGTAAACCTGATGTTTAGAGAACTGTTTTAAAAGAGAAAACAACTGAGCTCAGATTCTTCAGCAAATCAAAGAAACTGAATGCAAGTTCTTTATTTATCAATTCAGTTGAATACTTTCTTTAATATGATTTTAAATGAAAAGGGTTAGCAGTTCATCATCCTTTTTTCAGAAATAACAGTTTCTCCTTTGCTCCTACAAAACCCCACTAGGCCAACTTGGTTATTACTCAGAAAATCAAACACTATTTGCTGTTGCTGTTATGGTTTCAGCATGAACTAAAAATTTCACACAAGAACACAACTCAAAACTCTACCCTGAAAAAATGAATAGCAAATTTACACTGCAAATATTAGCAGAGTAAAACAATACTTAAATATTTTAACATTTCAAAAATTTAGTAAAAAGACCAGAAGGACAAGCTGTCCACCTGAACTAGAACTCATGAGAAAAAGTTTGAGAAACAAATCAGAAATTCTTAAAAAGAGACTTGCAAGCCAGAAAAAAACATAACCATTATCAGAATAAAGGTTTTAACTCATTATCTAAATTATTGTGATTGCTGTGATGCAAAATCAAGTCTGGGCTTGGGAATCAGTCCAATTTTTCAGACCCAACTCGACTACAAGAGGATCTTGCCCCTGCCTCTTTGTAAGACAAGAAGGTTGTGATTCATGCTGTATTAATAAATTTATTCCATATATCTGAAACATAAACAAGACTGGTCACAGATTTATTTTCAAGTCACACGACTTTTGCTCGGTGATCAGTTTTTCCTCACAGTGAGGAATGTTTTTAAGATCATCACATCAGGCTTCAAAACTGATTCATTTTACTATTCTATTGGCTGCATTTCTTCCTCCATATGAGACAACTGATTACTATCAAGTTTCAGGAGTGTCTAGAAGTGTGGTATGCTTCTTAGCCTAAAATGTTTTCAATTATAAAACTAAAATCTTACCATTTTCGTCTGATTCAACCTTTCTTCTCTGTCTGCCAAATCTTAATGTGACCTTGATCTGTAATTTACTTTTAAAAAATGTGTAGCATTTTTATAGCCACTGTAGCTTTTCTCAAAATTATATATATATATTTTTTTATACTCCACATCCAAACATACTCATCGTTCTATGTTGAAACAAAGTACATTTCAAGACTACAGTTTCCAGCCCTCTTGACCTTAAAGGCAACACCGCCACATATCAAAATTTCCACCCAAAAAACTCACACTGTATCCGTCTGAGAGCATAGGGAAAGGGAGCTCTGAAAGTAGCTCACGGGCAAGAGAGAACAGTATCTTTCAGCAGTACCCAGCAACACCAGTTTAAGCAGAATCTGGTGATATATCTCCTTGGAAATTAAGGTTTGGGCTACCCTGCAGCCTCTGTGCAGGGACAGTCTACCTGGGGCCTGTCATGAAATCCCTGGCACAGGAGCTGTTGAACTGTAGAGAGCTCATAACTCATTTTTAGGTTACCCTCATCACATGATTGCAATAGCTATAATTGCCTCTTAAGTGTGACACATGAAATGGGTGGGAGAAGCACAGAACTAGGAATGTGAAGAAAGACTGACATTGGGAATCTACAAAGACACTAAGGTTTGTAGGAACTGGATGAAGCCTAAGGAATGGCAACCAGCATCAATTAGATGAGCTATAGATTTTGGAATGGAAGTAGCAGAAACAAGCACAAAACAAAACCCTAATTGATTACATAAAGAGATAATGGACAAAAGAGTTAATACATGTCCCTCCTGCAAATCCTTGAAGATAATCCAAAACTTATTGTCCTCTTACCAGACACTTGTGAAACCTGCTTGTAAAGTACATCTTTCTCCAATCGAAGGTGATAACAGTCCATTACTGCTACTGGCCTCTCTGCTGTTTGAACGCACACTGGGTGCCTCAGGCTACTGATTCCAATATAAAAACCCCTTGTGATAAGGGATAGAGTTACATAATGCTCCATTATGAACTTACCACCTCACCTATTTTTTAACTGTTTAAACCTAGGAAATTCCATTCAGTAAAAGCTGTAGTAAAGCAAAGCCTTACCAATTTCTGCATGCTGGAATTTTCAGAATTAAGATTTATTTTCAACCCATTAACTCAAAAAAAACTAGGGGGGGGGAAGTCTATGAGATAATGAACAATTTTGTTTTCTAAGCACTGCTTGAATAGCATGCAGTGAATAAACAGTGGTAACACACCAAAGAGAAGGAAAAAAAAAATTACACATTCTCAGTAAGTGTGTGCCATCCATTTTGTGTAGCCAATGAGGCAGACATCCCAAAGGAAAAACCTGTCATTGTGTGATTCAAGATCATATGATAAACTATATATACAGCAAATTGGACTGTTTGCACAGACAATATTAACTGTGACACTGCTCACCTTTTAAATGTTTAACTTTGCAACAAATGCTCTTTTAACGCAGTTTCTCTAAAATGCACCATTAAAAATGAAAACTAATAAACCATTCATTGCCAGGCAATGTGTTTACTCATTTCTAAATAATCCTGTGTATAGACCTTACAGGTTGTTATTTTTACAATTACAATGCCAGATTGCTAGTACCATCCCTTGCTTGGCTGTCTATTAGTTTTATACAGAGGTTGAGCTTTACCAAATAAAATTTTCTAAACAACAATATTGGATGCTAACACACACAATGCTGCCCATACCAAATCTTCACAATGTTTTACGTTCAAGAAAGGAAATTCATGGTCCTTGTGAGTTATAGATTCACACAGCTATAAATGTAATAGAGCCTAAACTGCAAATCAGAAATATTACAGCAAGAAATCTCTGCAACCATAAAAATAAACTCCAGGAGAGAAACAGTATGCAAGAGACAAAGATGTGTTCGATAAATCACTAAAGTATATATGAAATACAGCTGATCATAAAGCAGCTATATGTATATGGAAACTGCTTTGCTATACTTCACAAAAAATAAAGCAGTGTATTCAGTATGTGCCAGAAGAATGTCTCAAGGTGTTAGCATTCTGGCAGCAGTTACAGTCTTACTTCTGTGAAATACTAGTAAATGCAATACTTAAAATGAACCGTGGACATCCAGCTTATAACATGCTATAGTAACGCATGTGCTATCCTACCTGATCTAAGGGCTGTCTGCTAGGTCTCTGTCAGAAAGCCTCTCTTTTTAGTGAATTTATATTTTTAGTACTCAAAGTCCATAAAACAACAGTAATCTGTAGCCCAGGATAACAAATACTATACTGTGCTATGCAAAAATAGTCTCAGAAAATAAGATAAAAGGTTCTGATAGCTATTACATTAGAAATTACAGTTTTAGTTTAGCATGATAGAAAAACATTCATATGCACTGACAACACTAGCTTAGATTATTTTCTCCAACATAGTATATCTTGTCTACAGACATGATAATTTATGTTCTTTGTGGGGAGGGAGGGTGAAATTTTTATTTTATTGTTTTCCAATCCTTTATTTAAACAGTCTCAAAGTAGCGACAAACTCGCAGTCTGCATCACTTCATCCACCCTTACTTACCACTTTTTCTTGCTATTACCATTTTCCAGCCACTTATCCTCATCTTTCTAGAGTTCTTTCAGCCTCATCACAAAATATTTTCTTACTGATAATTCACTGCAGACAGTTTACTCAGTTCAGTCTCAAGACTTTGAACACTGTAGAATGTCTCCTTAAGGAGACTGTCTACTGCACTGAATCTCACAATACTGTATGTGTATAGATTATTCCTCTTCTTCATCTGTGGTTGAAAAGTATCATTTGCTAAGTGTGTAGAAAGTTATCTCAAGGTAAGATATTTTATCAACGATAATGTATTAGCTGCCCTGACATAAGCGTCCAGATGCATCCTTGTGACTAGTTGGAGCTGAATTACCATTTATTACACAGTAAAGGCACACACATGAGCATTTGTGATCAAATAGCTAGTGTTCTGTCCTCTGGCTTACTTAACAGTAAATTAATAACCTCACAGCAGAGACTAACCTTTTGAGAACGTCTAAAATATTCACTCTTAATGCACAGTATAAACACATTAAAACCAACTATAAACTAGAGTTAACTTTTAAAGGACCTAACAGTGTGGCTGACAAATATATTAATAGACAGACATAGCTTGTTCCTCTTTAAAAAAAAAGGTAACTGTTGAAAATTGTCCATGTGAATTTCAGGAAACTGATTTTAATAAATCTATTTCCATAAAGACTCATGCCTTACACAAACGTAAAATTAAATATTTTATAATTTTTCTGATTATTATATTGACTTTCTGTAATCAAAACGGAACACCTGGTTTTTATTCAATTACTTCATTTTTTAACATTAAGATAAAAATGCTTTTAAAGCATGCAGCATTTAACAGAATGTAAACAGATACAGTGTAATCAAAAACATTAAATTCACACCTCAAATATTCCTGCTCTCATAAAGAGAAACTTCAAAAATTCAAGCTATCCTGATAATGTAAAATAACATGAATGTATTGTTGAGCATCTTAAGAAAGATTTCTATTTCATTAATATTTCAACAGCTCTTTCTTCTATAGAAAACGCAATCTTTTATTTACTAAAATGAAAGCCTGTTTCATTTTTTCAAAAAAGAATAAACTAAGTAATTCTAATACCTGATGAAATAACTTCAAGTCCTTAGGTAAGCTGCCAGTGAACAAATTTTATATTTGTTTTTAAGGGCAAGATCCTATGATTGTACTATGCAGTCACCAATATATGCCTCAGTATTACAGGAAAATGACTACATCCTCGAAGGACATGAGACACTGTAAAATTCTCAAATTTATGAGCAAATATACATGTATTCACATTATTTTATTATTGAAATAAAGGCCTTGCCAAAGTATTTACAATTCTGCAAAGAATTAAAAAGGGAATTATTTTTTTTAGGTTTACTATTAAGACATATTGACTATAGTATGGCTTCGGATACTGCAGAATATTTAATTGTTGAGGGCCTGCAACAAGACTGCTGCTGTACAAGTGAGTATGAAAACAATCTACATCTTATGGGTTCCTCTTCATATCTTTTTGATTGTATGTTTGTAGAGTGTATACAATAATATATAAAGCAATTCACAAGATGTGTACATGCATATGATGACAAGTTCAAACAGCCAGGAAAAAAGTATAGCACATCATCTTTCTGTAAAACTATGAAAGGTAAGAGAGGTTCAGTCTTCTTTCCATGACTTTTTTTCCTGTCCCTTTCTGAAAAAGTCAGCATGATATAGGAATACCTCAGAGCTAGTCAGATCAATTAAATAGTTTGTTCTACAGTATTTTGCTCATGTATCTTTTAAAAATGTTTATCAGTTTCTGTGACAACTCAGTAGATCATTTCTATTTTGGAAAAATATCACTAGTAGATATGTGCTTGCACTTTCATGTTTTCACCTAGTCTTCATATTTTACTCACACGTTGCTGCTTACCTCTGGCTGATTAGAAATATTCAGAATGAGGGCCCACAGATCAGCTCGGAGTGCTGTTGGACATCCCTGACGAACATATTGTTGAGCTGCAGCACTATCTTGCTCTGCTAAAACTGTAAGAAACAAAGCAGGTAATGAATTGACATAGTTTAAGACTCCCAAAGTTTATGAAATTATCAAATACTTTAATTTTTGACTTTACAAACTGCTTTACCATGCTGTAAGCATTAGCCAATGGGAAAATACCTAAAAGGTCTGGTTTCCACAATGCAGTTTTTAAGTAGTTCCCTGGGAAACAAGGCAATTGGTATTAATAAACAAGGCTGTACTACCTTCTGTCATAAAATAGCACTTAGTACATACCCTCTTAGTATGTGTCTATGACTACATCAAGGCTAGTTGTAGCTACTAGGCTGGCATCAGTTGGAACAAGCAGTCGTACGTAGCCACAAAATACTCCTGTTGAACTATCTCAGTTCACATAGGAGATTGTAATTCATTGTGGGTTTGGGGTTGGTTGTTTTTTGTTTTATTTTTGGGGGGGGGGGGGGTGTTTGGTTGGTCTAGTTTGGTTTTGGTTTGGGTTGGGTTTTTTTGTCCCTCCCTATTTCTATGTTAACTATACTAATATCTTCACAGATAACTGTGGGGCAAGAATTTTCCATTTCAGAGTGTACTGCCATGTTCTTTCATTATTGGTATATGCACTCTGCAGGATAAAGACTTTCTCAAAAAATTTTGCTTTTCCTTCAGACTGACATAAAACAAATACTGTTGACAAGTTTGCTTAGGTGTGTCATTGTTGTGAAGCTTTAGGCTACACTGTCACAAAGGGTTTATCTCAAATACAGTACTGCACATATCTTCAAGCAGATTATCTCAGATTATCTCATTCCTTACTCAAATCTATCAACTTGAAAGACATACATCTTCAGCTATACTAAGCTGGTAGTAGTGTTGTTTCCTCATCAAGGTTATGAGATTACCTGTACCCTCATAACTGAAATCTCTTTTACAAAAGAGAGTAGGAGAATATTTCTGTCATATTATTTAGACATTAGATAGGCATTGTAGTGGTGCTACGAATTTTCTAAATCAGTATCCTCTGATTTTTCTGAATACTCTCAGAAAAAACTTGCTTTTCAAAATTTCACTAAATTCAATATTCACAGTATCTGCCTTGACATAACTTAGAAGGACAATGTTTGGAATTATAAATCTATTTAATTCATTCCTCTCTTCTTCCCTCTCTTCTTACATACTGAGTAGACCAGTCTGCCAATTCCCTGTTTAACCTGTAAAGTGTAAGACACGTTTTTCCTAGACAGAGGGAAAAAAGAAAAAAAATATTACTACATTCCCCACAAAACTTTTGAAAAGACTGTGATTCATCTCAGTGTCCATGAGTGTTTGTCATTTTTTTTTTCTTACTGAGACAAAATCTTAAAAAGTAGTTTTGCAATACACAAGATAGGTTTTACTAAATACAACAAAGAAAATTCCTCAGATTTGGCAATACATCTGAAAAATGGCAAAACATCTAAACATAAACGCAAAACCAATACATTAGTGGCATCAATCAATAGATCAGTGAGGAGTAAGATTTCTATCGTGGAGTTAAATGACTGCCTCAGGAAGACCAGAGGGGGAATTTATTTGGAAGAATAGGAAAAGAACAGAGATGGACAGTACATGAGTTGCTCTTGGATCAGAAAACAGATGACAAGGGATAGGAAGAGGACCACAAAAGGAGAAGAAAGAAAGAAAGTTTATTGTTTTGTTACTATTAAAAAAAAAAAAAAAAGATGGAGGACTTCTGGGATGATACCCACTCTATTTTTTTCTTTGATAGTGATAATGGTTAGCAGGAATCACAAGAGACAGTAAGGAGCAGATACTGATGGATTTCAAACATTCCTTGTATGTTTCTTCTACAAGCAAATTTGAGCTAATAAATGATTATTGCTTTTATCTTTCCCCCTTTTTTTTTTGGTAAGTTATTTCTTAACCTACAAAAAACCCCATTCTTCAGAAAAGCAGTATACAGAGACAAAGGAATGAATTTTTCATAGTGGCTAAATATCGCAATATTTAGCAAGTTCTGCAATTGCAAATAACCATTAAAAAGACTGTTTTTACACAAAAGCGTAAATCCCATTACACTAGTAAGAACTGCATGTGCAGAGAAAGGAGTCCAGAGTCTTTTGATTTTAAAATGAAATTGAGTAGTGACAGAAGTTAAACCATCACCAAAAAGTTATGTCTCTGTGCTTTCTATTTCATTTTTAATGAAATATCTGTGAAGCTACTTATCTGGTAGCTACTGGTAGCCTGCAAATGCTTCCTTTTCTGTCTCTGTCTAAATTACAAAAGTATTACTGACTGTCTCTGTCTACATTACAATGGTATTACTGACAATGCTTTGTGTTAGTTTGTCTAAATTCTTAAAATTCTAAGAGGTACATGTAACTGAGATAGAAATTTACAAAATGCATTCCTAACTCTTCACAGTTTATTACAGATTAAAACAGATCCATACCTTTCTGTCCAACACGTACATGTTCATTTTCAAAGAATTCTAGACAATAAAGAAATGGAAAAGAATGGCAAAAAATAAATTCAAAAAGACACTTCATCCAGTAATGCATTTTATATTTTTACTACATCTTTACATTCAGCTGATTTTTACTGCTAATTAATGTAATTAAAAATTAAACTTCATCAGAATCAGTGTTGTCTTTTTCAAACACAAAGAAGAAATAATAATACACATATTTTTTCTTGTCTGAAGGACACAAATACCTAAGTAGCCCTATACTGCATGAATCTAGACTTTCAATTAGGTAAGCTAGTCTGTTAACTACTGTAACATTTATTGGTATTTTCTGTATTTTAGGAGACAAGCAATTTTGTTCTCTAGATCCTAAAGCGTTCAAACATACTGAAATTAACATATTTTCAACTTAAGGTGATGCTTTAAAATCTCTTTAAATCTTCATATCTGCAGCGTTTTCTATTGTTAGCTGTATTTTACTAAGAAAATCACTACAATGAGTTACAGAACAAAGATACATGGTCTATTGTGGGAAAAAAATACAAAAATTACTTGATAACTGCAAAGTATGCTACTCATTAATATTCTATTTAAATGACTGAAGCACAGCATTAGCTAACCAGGAGGCACTTGGGCTGAATCATCAATACCCAGCTGTCCTATGTTTAGGCCTAGTTCACTGAAGTCTTCTTTCTGAAAAGAAAACCATAAAACAGTATTAACAGTGTTTAATTCTATAAATCACTTGAGATTTCTTTTCATGTCAACTACAAGTTATACCTGAATGTAATAATGTGGTGAATGAAAGATAAGGTTAAGGATCTCCAATTTCCAGCTCTTTTCCGACCCAGGTGAAAGTTCTACTAGCATAAAATATTCAACAGCCTTATCAGTGAAGCATTAAGCAAAGCTTTCTCATTTTCCAATTATAACACTAGTACCCAAGCATTTCCTTTCATTTACAAACTGACAATAAAAGGATTGAAAAGTACTTTGAGAAGAAAATCAGAAATGGACAGGTTGTCAGGTTACTGATCTTGTACAGCATCAAATAAAACAGTAGAATCAAGATAAACTACATATTTACATTTTCTCTTACAGAAAAAAAGGAGTAAGCCTGTAACACCTAGAGAAGTATGTTTTTAGCATAAATCAAACCTGTGTGGCATAAAATGAAAACTCTCCTACTGGCAAGTAATTTACTGTTTATGTTTTATTTTTCATTAAAAATGTCTTTTCATAAAACTGTTTATGGTCCATGTTTTAATGACATATTTAGATTGATTTTTCACTTTCAAAAGAAGAAATCTATCATGACACTAATATTCTTTTATTGTTTTGAATCTTATTATTAGCAAGGCAAAATAATTCCTACAGAAACCTCTTGTAAGAAAAAATATACTTACCAATTCTGGAATATCTTTAACTTTTAGAGGAACCTGAATTAGCCCCAGATGATTTCTGAAACTAGGCTGTTCTCCATTTTCATAATTTGGGTTTCGAAGGTTCATCAGGACCTTAAGAACAGTAGCTTTGTCATTCCTCGCATATATTCAGAAATTTACTCTCAGAACTCTCCTTAACATCATCAGTATTACAAACAGTAGGTTCAGCATAAAATTATTTCCTGCAACTATCATATCTATAGGCCCAAACGATAAAATTGTATCTCAACATTTTCAAAAACAAAAAGGCAATCTTTTACAGAAGTAACAATATTCTACTTTGAAAAATAAGCTCAAATGATGAAATGAAAAAGCAGAAATAATTTTTTATATATAGGATTAAGTGCTGGGTACATAGTAATGCATTGACTAAAATCCACTTCCTCAAAGCTATTAGAATACCAAGAGTCTATTTCTGATGGCTACAATATCCAGGATATTCTTCAATATCTTCTACAATATTCTTTTTTCTGAAATAATTTTATCCATCTTATGCCTGCAATCTTATGTAGCTTTCAAAGTGCTACATAATTTGCTACTAAAATAATTTCTTACTAAATAACACCACACAACAATATCTTCTTTCATTCAAGATAAAATAATACTACAGAATTGAAAACCTAAAGTAAGGATAAAATTTAAGGGACAAGGAATCATAGCGTCAAGAAAAGTAACTGATCTAGAAAGGAAATTACAGTCCCTTACATATATAGGTATAGATTTTGTTAGTATCATGTTGAGCTGACAAGGGTTCCATCTGAGCTTCCAGCTCTTTCTTATGAAAATATTCCACAAGATCCCACCTCTACAATTCTCCATCTTGTAGGTATTCTAATACCTAATAACCTCACTGTCACACTTCTAAATTAAAATAATAATTTAAGAAACTGCAAACACTGGAAAGAAAACAGCACAAAAGAGAGTGACCATGATGACCACTGGATAAGGGTAAAAATGAAGATGGCTTTGTTGACAGATTGATTAAATACACAACATGGCTGTTAGTACAGTGATGCAAACAGAATAAATAAAAAAATTCCAATATTATCACTCACTGATGTCCTGGTTTGAGCTAAATAGAACTAATTTTCTATTTAGTGATTTCACTTTTCAGCTCAGTCTCTTCTAAGTGGCTGTACTTGCTGTTTTTCCATGTTTTTCCAGACAGTGCATACTGCTAGAGCTGATAATGTTCAAGGGCACTGTCTCACCATGGGTCCTGTGTCTGCACCTACAGCAGGAAGCAGACCCAAACCTGACCAACTAGGTATTCCATCCCACACATGTCATACTCAGTATAAAGCTGAGGGATCACAAGGGTCTTGACCCTTCCTTCTTGGACCCTTCCTTTCATCTCAATCCTTCAATGGCCAAAGTCCAAGCAGAACCCTGCTGGTTTGTCTGTCTCCGATCCCGATTCATGTGTTCCTGCATCCTGCTCCCACCTGCTGCTGAGTCCGGTCTGGGACTTTTCCAGTGCCCTGCTCTGCAGAGCCTCTGGTGACATAATCATCATTGCGTAAGGGTGGGGGAGGATTTTATATTGGTTTTGTAGATACACTTGTACATATTTGTATATATTTCATTATTTTCCTATTTACATTATTATCCTGTAGTATTAGTATTATTGTTTTATTAGATCTGTTCATTTTATTTTCCAACCTGTAAAGTCTCTCTTATTCTCTTTTCTCTTCCCTTCTGGGGAGGGGAGAGGGGTTAATAGAGAGCATTTGTCCAGGATTTAGTGGCCAGCCCAGCCTTAAACCACAACAACTGAACAAGAGAAGCTCTTCAGAAATGTAATAAAATGGATAGAAAGTTAATTGTTGCATTCAGAAATGCATTCACAATTCATAACGATGGAACAATTTACGCTTAAGTCAGAAATGCTATAAATCTCCTCCACCATTACAAAAGATATTCCACTGAATATTGTACTGAATCACATTGAAATATTAATACATTAATTCTAACCAATGATTCAGTATGAGACTTCTAAGTTTTATCCCATAAAAGCGATAAAGGATTTCTTCCTAATATCTCATCTAAATCTACTCTTTTCCAGTTTAAAACCACCACCCCTTATCCCTCCCCATCTTTCCTGTAGGCCTCCTTTAAGTACTGGAAGGCTGCTATAATGTTTTCCTGTTTTGGTGGTGGTGAGGTTTTTTAATTATTATTATTATCCACTGGATATACAGAAACTGATTTTAAAAATCTTATTTTCAATCACATTTTAATCTGTAATCTCTTACTGCGTCACCATTAAATTCACTGTCATCAACAATGTTTACTGTCCATTATTCATGCCTATTTTAGGCATAGGTGATAAAGTAAATGCTGTTTTACTAAGATGCTTGAACTATGAGTAATACGGTAACTTCTGACTTATAAAACTCAGCAGTCAATATTTTTAATGGTTTGTTTTAATTACAGGCGAAAGCCTCCAAATTCCACAGTTCTGTTTCATGTTTGACTTTTCACAATCTTCATAGATGACGTACAATTACAACTGTATAAAGGTCTACTATCTACCACCAAACAGTCTTATCAGCTTCACATATTGCAATTTATCAGCTTAACGTATTGCAACTTAAAACATAAATTGATTTATGAAATCAGTTGGAGAATTGCTCTCAGAAAAAGTTAGTTGCAAACTGTTCTTCGGAGAAAGAGAAGTTTATCACAAGTACAATTTAAAATAGCAGTTAGAAAAAAGAGACAACAGCATTTTGTTTTGTAAACAAAACACGGAGTCATAAAAAAGATGCCAAATTTCACTTGCTATAAAGGACAAATTGTTTGAAATACACTTTATTATTATTCTCACTTCACATAAAAAACTATAATGGATGCAAGTCAATGGCTGAGTCACTGTTTCATAAATGTTTACCTCAAGAAAATCTTTAGGTGCATAAACAGGCCGGAAGAGACTTAGATCTGAAACAAGATTCCAATGATGCTATGTTAAAACCAAAAGATGAAAAAACCAGGCAGTTTTTCCATACCTGTAACATAATCTAGCAACTTCAATAACATTAGAGCAAAGATTTAAATAACTATCACAGACATCATCACTACAACCATCACATATTCTCCAAGATTATGCTACTGTTATGCTACTGTGCCTTGGTTTTGTAAACCTGCCAAGTAAGTGAACAGAAGTCACAGGAAGTTTTTATCTATTCCATGTAAGTCTTTAGACTGAATCATTCTTATACATGAGAGAGATACGATATTCAAAAGAGATTTGGTTGGTTTTTTTAGCAGCAGAGATTGTTAAATGTAATGCTGTCAAATGAAAAATAGCAACTTGTCATAAACAATCCATGAAAAATATTTGCCATCACAGAGGTGGTACTGCAATACAAAGCAGTACCTTTGCAAAATCTTTTCTTTTAAGGAACTCTGATATGAACTAAGAAGGCAGTTAGCCTTGTTATCCCAAAAGATCGTAAGACTGACTATTCTGTGCAAGTGTTCTTTTTATCTGTTGTTAATACAATGTCTGATCTTAATTATCCATACTTCTGAACATTTTCTATTAGCCTCAGCTTACACTAAGAGGAGCTGTACCTTAGCTATATAAAACTACTTAAAGCACTAGAATAAGGAGTATTGGATCAACACAGAGTTTGTGGTATAAAGTTAGTACACTAACTAGAAACAAAATAACTATGAAATGAATATTTATTTATGCATAATGACACATTACCCATGAGAAAAAAGATTGAAATCCGTTTACCTTGAAGTGATTACATTCGTCATTGACTGATAAATGAGATGTCAAAAATAGCATATACCTTACCTGGCTCATCTGTTCCCATTTCATTCCATTTGTTAAGCAGTTCTTTCTGTTCACTTACAGGCCTCTGAAAAGCATGAGAAAGTAACTCTTCTTTTTTTTAGCAGTAAAAGTATGCCTATTTCAAATACACAAATTAATATGACACTTCAAAAAACAGATTGCACTAGCAATATAAACTTATTTTGCTCACAAATTATTCCCAGCCTGAAGGTATTCTCTACTGTAGAAAGTCCAAGGAGGAGTTCAAGGAAAAAAGGAGCCCATTAAATAGTTTCATGCATTTACTAATGAATTTTAGGCTATTTAGTAGTCAGTTTCTACCACTGAAGATTTAGTGCTCATTCCATAGAGCTGTTGGACTTTGTCATCTGTGTGACCTAGTCTATGTGATCCTGCTCTGGCACAGGGGTTGGACTAGATGATCTTTCAAGGTCCTTTCCAACTCCTAATATTCTGTGATTCTGTGATCAAATTCCTGTCCCTGACACAGTCATGAAAGGCAAACACAGCTGCAGTCTTAACCTCCTATGATGAACTGTAGAGGTTCTGTTACCTGTCACAGAGATGCAACAGGAGAAAGATAAAGAACAAAACCTTCTAACACTATTCCCCAATTCCATGATCTTTAAAATCAAAGCCCCTAATTAATAAAAAACAAACCAAAACAGAGCAGATGAATGACAGACAATATTAGCAATGTACCAGTACCTCTCTCTCCTAAAGTACCAGTTTAACTATAGCTTTCTTCAGCATACAAAATATATCTATATTGTGTACAGGCTATGCAGTGAGAAGTTATACAGCTGAGCGTGCACACAAAAATGCTCTATGAAGAGCAATGAATGTAACAGCTTTCCAACATGCTGCTCCCTCAAGAGGACAATTACTGCAACAGCAGTGAGGAAGATCTGCCTATAGACTTCATCTTCTCCCAAGCTGAGCCAATGCATACATTGCCACTATCCCTAAAACTTATTTTATATTAAAATTACTTGGATACTTGCAGCTCTTGATAGCCATATGTAAAATGAACATTACATTACAAGCACGCAAGATGAGGCTTAATTTCCAAAAAAAGTCAGTTTGGCAACAGAAAGTCAATACATTACCTTTCGTGCTAGTGGGATACCAAGTTCTGTGCACATGCTGTTTAGACTTTTTAGAATCCGCTTCTCCCAGCTTCCCTAAAAAGTAAAAAAAAAAAAAAGTTATTTGGAATTTCTTTTTCCTCCAATTCCATTTATGATGTAATAACAAGAAGCTTTTAAAAGTCATAAATAAAGGACAGCAAGAGTCACTGACTGACATCTGCAAAAATGTTAAGGGAATATTTAAATGCTTGTTTAATTGGAAACAGAGCAAAAAGATGTCATCATTTACATCACAATAAAGAACCAGAAAAATGACTGTTCACATTTCAGATCTCCAAAAAGCATGTATTTCACAATTACTGATTTTTGACTAATGCCTAATGATCAAGCTTCCTTATATATCGAGATTTAACAATTTTTTCAAACTATTATAAGCAGGGCAATCAACTGTGTACAGAGAATTCCATCTCCACTTTGTGACGTGAAGAGAGTGCAAGTCGTTCTCTACAAAAGGCATCTTAGATGTTCTCAGAAGTTAAAAAGTTAGAAATCTGGTATTCAAAAATATTTATTCTAAAATAATGCTAAGGAAATAGTTCTCTAATCAAAGAGAAAACCAGAAGTATACCAGAAGTATACCTCAGTAGTAAGTGGACAGCCTGAAGAGCAATCAGATTCTTCTGACTACTGCATTAGGCTTCAAACTTACCATATGTAGCCTAATCTGCGGATAATTCATCTGAAGTTAATACCAACTAGTACTGGCTTCCTTATCAACTGACTTATGATTTTGCTTCCATGATTACAGCAGCACTAGTTTTATATTTAATTTAGTTTTCTGTGGATGATGAGTCAGGCCTCAATCAAACGAATGCAAAGACTCCTCTTAATGTAATTTAACTCCATTTATTATTTGTAATTTTCTCTAGACAGAAATTCTACAACAGTTAGTTACTATCTAACCACATGTCCCTTAAACTTAAAGTTCTGTCCACAAGAGGCTGCAGTTTATTACATAGAAAGAAAATGAAGGGAAGGGCAGATGTTAAAATATTCTGCTAAAAGAATAATATCTTGTCTATAGTTGATTCATTTTAGCTTCCATTTACAAGATTCTCTTAAAACTTTTTCCATTAAATTAAATAGCTATCTTTCACCAGAAATTTCTTCTCACAATCAAGTCATCCCTTCACCTTTTCTTGCATAAGTAAAACAGATCTGACTTTTGACCATAAGGAATGTTTTCCAAATTGCAGTATTGTTTTATAATATTCTGTATAATATTTTTATTTAACTGTATTGTCATATTCAAATGCATTCCAAATACTGCAGTTACACAACATCATGCCACAAGTTTGTTTTTCTCTCGCAGAGGGGTGGTGTAGAGCATTCACAGTACCCTATTTTTCTGTGAAGTAAAAGCACGAAGACTACTAAGCTATACAGGATAAGGAAGTGGAAACAAAGAGAATACAGAGGTGCTAATAGCAGATTTAAAAAAAAAAAGCAATTAAGATCAAAATTATGGGTAAAAAAAACCCCAAACACCACCGCAGATATAAAGGCTTCAAAATACAAAAGCTCCAAAAGAAGCACAAAGGAGGCAGATGGCAGCTTTGCAAGACTGAGAACCAGCTCATTTCAAGGAGCAACGGAGGTCGATATTCTTGGTGTGACTGACAACTGCCAGACCAGACATTAATCCACTTATTGTGGTAGGGAAGTAACACGTCAGTAATAAATCACTTCTGGATACTTTAAATGTGTCATAATTCAGCCTTCAAGACGCTGTCCAGTAAAAGATATTCAAATAAATGGCAAAGTCCAGCTGGAGGCCAGTCACAAGT